ATATATATATATATATATATTCATACATGTATATATGTATATGTAATATGTATATAATACTTGACAACGGCCAAGGTTGACTGTTATATACACACACATATATCTATGCGTGTAATCATTTGGATCGATCGTCTCTCTGCATTTTTGTCCCCCTCCTTTCCTCCTCCTCCTCCTCCTCCTCCTCCTCCTACACCTCCTCTCATTCTCTCACTTGTAAATAATTTTAAAAATCATTACCAATAATTATTGTTATTTAATGCATACTATTATTAAAAGCAAATAATCATCTTTGGTATAATTTAATTATTAAATTTATAGAAATATTTGACTTATCATTTCATACTTGTTTTTCTTTTTGTAAAATTCATATATTTTTATAGATTATAAATAATATATTATAATAAGAATATTTTAATGTGTGTGTGTGTGTGTGTGGGTTTAACCTTTGCTTACCACACCTCCTTAGAGTAACACGCTTACCACAGCCGGGTCCTTTGGACCCGAACAAAAAAAATTGTTATAAAAAATTAACTATTGCATAGATTTACTTCAACATTTTTTTGAAACTTCTTGAATACTTATTTAAAAAGACTATATAGGTTTTATAGCTTTAAATTAAATTTAAATATGTTGAAAAAATAACCAAAGTTGAACAATTGAGAAAAATGACTCAAGTTGCAAAAAACATCTGGGTCGTCCTTTGGACCACCCGTGTGGTAAGCAAAGGTTAATTAACTTTTTATCTTTTTATTTTCAAACACACAATAACGATATTAATAATTATATTAAATGTGAAAGGATGAAAGTAATGAAAATCATCCTATCGGAAATGATAGACGATTAATTTTATTAATAAACGAAAAGGGTCGGTAAGATAAAACAAAAAGTTGAAAATTCATTAGAATTATACAAGGTCAAAGAGTTAGAAAGTGGGCGTTGAACTTGGAAAATGTGTAATTTTCCTTTGATATCTATCTTTGAATGACATGAACGTTTGAATTAAATTGCTCGAGCGTATTAAAGTCAAAACTTCTTATGAAAACCACGTGCTATTTCATATTACGTTAACGATGCACTTTTCATTATTATTGCTAATTAAATGGTTAAATCTAATAAACTATAATTAAATCATATAAATCATTTCACTTTGATATGAATTATATTTGATATTCACGTGATGTAAAGATTTGTCTAGAAAAATATATAAAAAAGAAAAAAGCAAGTATGAAATGATAAAAATAAATAAAAAAACAATTAGAGAATAAGATTTATACCTTTTACCTTTTTTTTTTTTTTTTATAGCATAAGTGGATTATTCAGAAAATCGATTCTAATTATTGGCAGAGAGTATACTTGCACTTACGTAACTAAATGCGACAATATAATGCATCACTTTTCAATTTTTATTTAATTCCCTCTACAGTGATGCAAAGTTAAAATCCTTGTATCTTTAATTTAACTTATATTTTAAATATTTAAACAAAAAAAATTATCATTAAAATTTAGATCATTTCAACGTATACTATTTAACATTCTGCATCTACTACATAACAAAAAAAAAAAAAAAAAAA